ATGTAAAATATTACTAGCAAAATTTTTAGAGATGTCCGGGACCATGGCATAATAATTTGTTGTCCATTTAGCGCAAGTGATGATTCGATTAACTGTCAAAGTGCGTAATTTCTACTTGAATTCGATGCAATGTTGCCAACCATGAGAAATAATCTAGATACCATTTCTTTATAATATGGTTGGCAGCATTGCACATCGGATTCAAGTAGAAATTACGTACTTTGACATTTAATCGAAACATCGCCTGCTCTAAATGGACCACCTATTTATTGCTACATTTTTTGTAACATATTTTTTATTTCGAATATAACTTTATCCTCTTCCGATTTATTTGCAACTTTTTCCATTGAAACCAAAAGCATGCAAATACAACTGAAAAACTATTAATGAAAATTTGTAGCATTAAATCTAACCAAAAGTACGTTTTGTTGTTGTTGTTGTTTTGGTAAAACAATCAATTAAATATCACAAAAAAGGAGTATAAAAACAAAACAACAATATTCCCATGGTACATAATGAACTACTGTTTCTCTCTATAGCCGTGGCTGTACGTAAATCAAATTGTTACGGACCATTGCAGATGAACGTTGTTTTATTTTATGCCTCATTAAACAAATTAATTGAAATCGATGACAAGTTGCTGAACTTAATAAAGTGTGGAGCAAAGCAAATAAAAATCGAATCGTACATATTGTAACTAAGAAGAGACCATTAAATTGTGAATATTGTTATGTAAAATAAATGGATACATTTAAAAAAGAATCGTTGTAAGATATTTTGATATAAAACATAAAAAGCGTTTCTAGTAACCGATAATTGATCAAGAAAGTTACTAAATTTGTTTAGTTCACGAAGAAACTAGAACTAGTACTTTTCAAGAAAAAAAAACTAGCCCCGTATGAACAAGGCTCACTTTAGTTCAGTTTTATTACATATGGAAATCAACAACGTGGTAAGAGACTTAGTGGGATCAGTGAAGAAATAATTAATAATTGCCTTAAAAATATAATAGAAATTTTAAGTAAGGAGTTAAAGAATTGTTGCAGATTTTCTATTCCATGAGAAGAAAACTTTTTTTATAAAAAATTGAAAAGCGAAGTCAAAATCGAGGAAAAGCTAGATTTTAGGGTTGAAAACGTTTGTACACCGATCATGTTAAAGACATATAATATACGGATATCATTTAAATTTGATGTGTATTTCATTGGCGAAATTGAAAATGAACAAAATCAGAGGAGTGATCTGAGTAAGATATTTCATTAAGCCGATAATATAAGCCGATGTGACGACGCAAAAACCGTTTTGCCTAGAATTTCTAAACACAGAGCCCTAATCGAAATGGAATATTTGAATCAGACAGTTGTTTCCAGAAGATGTGTTTTTCAAATTGCATCGGATGGCGGACATATACTATGATGTAATGGAGGAGGCTGGAATCTTCCATTGATATTTTGGTGCCCCCGGCAAGTCCTCACTTTGAAGGGAATATATTTGCAAGCGGTGAAGATGGAGATAGTTCAAAACAGAATAAGCAGCAAAAATATGGATTGAAAAATCAATTGAAGCAAGTTATACTCCATGTACATCATCAAGGGAAGAAACGCCAGGTTACTGAAGAGTGGCAGGAGAAATCGCCTCAGAGAAATAGTGTTGTCTGGATGATGAAAGCTGTAGATGAAGGTGGAGTATCTTTTAATGGAGGCTGTATAGAAAATTGACTTAGAAGATTCGTGGGTTCTTTCACGTAGATGCTGCTGGATGAGTTTAGTTTTACTTAATTGCATTATGGATAACAGTTCATTATTTTTAGTATTTTTTAACAGAAATTTAATTTGTTTGAAATTAAGCTTGTCTTTTTGTACAGAATTTTGTATTACAAAAGATTTGATCGTTGGAGTGTTTTAAGATAAGAGGATGAAATTCCAAATGCAATGCTTATAAGGTAGTTACTGTGATGATTAGGACACACATGGTGGCAAATACCACCGCTCACTTGGAGATCGTTTGATCGTTGGAGTGTTTTAAGATAAGAGGATGAAATTCCAAATGCAATGTTTATAAGGTAGTTACTGTGATGATTAGGACACACATGGTGGGAAATACCACCGCTCACTTGGAGAGTTTACCTCACAAGATTCGGGTCTGGCAGTAAATGGCGAAAAGACCAAGCTGATGGTATGAACGCGGCAGACGTTCAGAAGTACTTGAAAACTACAACTTTGAGATAGTGAACGAATTCATATAGCTCGGTACCGCCATAAACAAAACTACTAACATCAGCTTTGAAATCTGGTGAAGAATAGTGTTGGCCAACAGATGCTACTATAGTCTGAGTAAGCAATTTAAAAACTAGGCCACCTCTCGCCTGACCAAACTCACACTCTACAAGATATTGCCAGTGCTGGTGTATGGATCTGAGGTATGAGGCACCGTTCAATATTGGATGAACACTCAAACCACGACCAATTGGGTGCTTGGAACGATGGAAGCTGGTCCAAAAAATGAAATCTCAGTTTTGGAAGTGGTGGACGAACGATTACCTCGCTACATTGCAGCATAGATAAAAAAGGAAAAATCGACAGGACAATTAACAGAAGAGACAACTCGTTATATTAAACAATGAAGATTCGCATTCATCTCGTTGGCCGTTGGGAAGAATAATAGAGACACGGGGAAGAGATGGCTTAGTGCGAACCACAACCTTTAAGACATGTAACGGCACGGTGAAAAGACCAATTATCAAAATATGCACATTGGTGTGTGAGGAGACAGTACAGGTGCCAGAAAGAGTGTCTGTAAACAACACACGGATGAACATCGTTCCAAAAGTCAATATTGGGTAGGTGCTGGTGATTTTGATGATGATGATTGTAGGCCTAAGAGCGGATTCCAACTGGCGGGATCAGTGGACGTGGTGACCTCGACATAGATTCTGATCGTCTATTTTGATATGAAGCCGTTTTTTGAGAACATGGTATTTGGAATTGGAAATATTTAAATCAATATTAGGTGCTTGGAACGATGGAAGCTGGCGCAAAAAATGAAATCTCACTTTTGGAAGTGCTGGACGAACGATCTGCAATGATACATATGGAAAAATCGGCAGGACAATTAACAGAAGGGATAACTCGTAATTTTAAAGAATAAAGATACGAATCCAGCCCGCTGGCCATTGGGAAGACTAATATAGACTCATCCGGGAAGGGACGGCTTAGTACGAACCGAAACCGTTAAGATGTGTAACGGCACGGTGAAAAGACCAATTATCAAGATATAACCATTGGAGTGTGAGGAGACAGTACAGTAGCCAGAAAGAGTGTCTGTGAACTACACTCGGATGAACATCGTTCTTAAAGTCAATATTGGGTGATTTTGATGATGGTGATAAAATCGGAGAAATAAAAAATTCAGATCATGTGAGATCAGTAGACGTGGTGACCTCGACATAGATTCTGATCGTCTATTTTGACATGAAGCCGTTTTTTGAGCACATGATATTTGGAAATGGAAATCTTTAAATCAATATTGGATGCTTGGAACAGTGGAAGCTGGCGCAAAAAATTAAATCTCACTTTTGGAAGTGCTGGACGAACGATTTCCTCGCTACATTGCAGCATAGATAAAAATGGAAAAATCAGCAGGATAATTGGCAGGACATGGTATTTGGAAGTATTTAAATTAATATTTTCATGGAATTGTTGTTTTAAATTGTAATAATATTTATTTAAAATTAAAACAACATTCATCAGCTGCCATTAGCTAGGTAACTATTTTGAATATTAATATATTTTGTAGCATACTTTTGGGAAAATCAAAAAATTTTTTGGTGTAAAAACAGAGTTGTATTTGAAATCGAGATATTGAGGGAATATTTAATTTTGTATGGTAAATCGAAGTAAATTCACATCGTTTTAGCCATTTTTACGGGTCCAACTGTTTAGAGTTAGTCAGCTGATACTTTGTTATTATAACCGTGGAAAAATCATAAAAGTATGTGTTGTTTTAAAATCGTTTAATATTCATTATGAGTTTTTAAAATAATTCAATTTTTTTCAGTTGCTGTAATTTTTTTTTGTTTTCAGCAATTATTTTCTAGTCTGCTTTAACAGAATTTAATACGTCAATCGTAATCTAATATTAATAAAAAAATTAAAAAATGTCAAAAATGTGAAAAACACAAATATTCAATAAATAATCAATTAAGTGTAAATAATATCATTGTTCTATATATATATATATATATATACACATATAGTCCATATATTGTTTGTATTTTATTTATGTATTTGACATTTGCTGTCATCGGCATAATTGCCAATGTAAATATTTGAAAATTGTTATGGCTAAGTTATGTTATGGTTAAATGGTAAGTCATGGTCATATTTTATATACATATATATATACATAAATATTATTAATAATAATTATAATTGTTATTATTATTATTGGTGTTAATTAAATATGTGAAGTGAAAAATTATTTAAATGTGTAATGCAATGTTAAGCTAGATTAAATAAAATAAAAAAAATAATTAATAACGCGCTAGCAACAAATTTAATAAGTTGGAAAGGAAAATAGATTTTTTTTTTAAATAGGAGGGTGTTGAAATGGAAGGGCAGATTTTAGTAGCAGATAAGGATGGAAGTTCCTGGCGTAGCTTTTAGAAGGGTCTAGTAAAATACAAAAATGTTAAGATTTCTCTAGTCCCTCTAAAAATCTAGCTACACCATTTAGAGAGAGAAAACTCAGGATATGCAATTTTTTAATAAATACATATTTTTTTAAAATACATTTTTAGTAAGAAGAAAAATTTTTTATAGAAGTTGGTAGCATAGAACATAACAAAAATTTTTCCCAAGAGTAGAAAAAAAAAATAAAAAAGACAGAAAACAAAAAATTAAAAAAACAGTAAATAATAAAGAGAAAAAAACCACGTAACAAGAGAGAAACAGAGAAAGAGAGTGTTAACAACAATTAACTTTGGAACTAAATTTAAATACCCTTTTCGTTAACTGAGTATCCATCATAAAATTGTGCACATGCTTTTCAGCCCTTGTCAATTCCAATTTTCTGGATACGACCGCCACTAGAAGAGCCGTACAACCGGCACCCTGTTAAAATGAAATGGAGAAAAAAAGAGAAGAATATGGAATTAAAACATGAATTGCAATAGATTTTTATGAGCAGCATCAATTATAAAATATTATGCTTCCAGGCCATGGTCCTTTGGGATTTATTGCCCCGCTGTAAATGGTAATATGCTGATTATTAATGTGTTCCAGTCCAGAGTTTATATAATGTTAGTATTGTGTTGTTGTTGGTGTCCTGTGATTCAAATTGTCTACACTATTCTGCAGCAGGTCCATAAAAGTTCTGTTAATAATAAATGCTTTTAAAAATGGTACTGAGAGTCATAGGTTGTTGATTGCTGGTCAAGCGAATCAATTTATTGCTGGACAGTGGGACGAAGTTGAGAAAAAAGGGAAATAAATTCGCTTTTTGATTTGTTTGATAGAAAAAGTGTCGAATTCAAGGTTTTCTATAGCAAAAATATCGACCTCAACTGAGGTTGAGGATTTTTTTCTATAGAAAAAATATCTACCTTAACTGAGGTTGAGGATTTTTTTTCTATAGAAAAAAATATCGACCTCAACTGAGGTTGAGGATTTTTTTCTATAGAAAAAAAGTATCGACCTCAACTGAGGTTGAGGATTTTTTTCTATAGAAAAAAAGTATCGACCTCAACTGAGGTTGAGGATTTTTTTCTATAGACGAAAATATCGACCTCAACTGAGGTTGAGGATTTTTTTCTATAAAAAAAAATATCGACCTCAATTGAGGTTGAGGATTTTTTTCTATAGAAAAAAATATGGATCCAAGGGTCTGATTTTTTCTATAGAAAAAATATTGACCTCAACTGAGGTTAAGGATTTTTTCTATAGAAAAAATATCGACCTCAACTGAGGTTGAGAATTTTTTTCTATAGAAAAAATATCGACCTCAACTGAGGTTGAGGATTTTTTTCTATAGAAAAAATATCGGCCTCAACTGAGGTTGAGGATTTTTTTCTATAGAAATTCGGCCTCAACTGAGGTTGATGATTTTTTTTCTATAGAAAAATATCGACCTCAGCTGAGGTTGAGGATTTTTTTCTATAGAAAAAAATATCGACCTCAACTGAGGTTGAGGATTTTTTTCTATAGAAAAAAAGTATCGACCTCAACTGAGGTTGAGGATTTCTTTTTATTATTTTCTTGTCCCACTGTGTTTCGCATTAATCTTTTTTGTATCGCCTTTGGTGCTCCTCTGATCCGAGTAAGTGCAATTCTAGTGTTTGCTGCCATTATTCGTATTTCGCTTTCGCTTTCGTATGACTTCATTTGAAATGATGTTCGTTCGTACACTTCCGTTTCCGTGTTAATACAGTTGATTGCCGTTGCCAGTCGTCTGGCAAAGATTTAAAAGCCACTTTGTCCGTATGTCCAGAGTTATATAACAATAACGACGACGACAACAACAACAACAATGCCATTATGCCAATTGAATGGAATCCGAATAGAGCAAACTTAACACTTTCATTCCACTTCACTTTTGATCTCACAAAGTCGTTTGGATATGTTTGTATGTGTATGTATATATCATGTCTATGGATTATGGGTGGATACAAACAAATACACAAACGCACACACACACACAGTCACACAAAGTCAACTGTCAATTTCTATTAAGTCTACATGCTTGGCACACACTTAAAAAGAAGTCATTAAATTTTTAATATTCTATTTAATGTTCTAGGGGAGAAGTGAGCCATTATGAGAGCTAATTTATAGGGTTGCCGTAAAAAATAATTACAACAACAATTTTAAATACATACATATATATTTTTTGAATTATCCACCATGCAAAATATTTAATAATTAAAATTAATAACACATCTATTGAAGCAATTCTCAGTTCAGCTTGGCTGAATAGAGTTGTCATTAAGATATTCTCAATTCAGCCTGGCTGAATAGAGTTTCCATTACGAAATTGTCACTTCAGCTTAGCTGAATAAAGTTTTCATTAGAAAATTCATAATTCAGCCTGGCTGAAAATAGTTTCTATTAGGAAATTCTTAATTTAGCTTGGCTGAAAAAAGTTTTCATTAGGAAATTCTCAATTCAGCTTGGCTAAATAAAGTTTTTATTAGGAAATTCTCAATTCAGCTTGGCGGAATAAAGTTTCCATTAGGAAATTTTCAATTGGGCTTGGCTGAATAAAGTTTTCATTAGGAAACTCTTAATTCAGCCTGTCTGAATAAAGTTTCTATTTGGAAATTTCTTAATTCAGCCTGGCTGAATAGAGTATTCATTTGGAAATTTTTAATTCAGCCTGGCTGAATAGAGTATTCATTTGGAAATTTTTAATTCAGCCTGGCTGTATAGAATTTAAGTTAAGAAATTCGTAATTCAGCCTAGCTGAATAGAGTTTCCATTAGGAAATTCCTAATTCAGCCTGGTTGAATGCTAAATGCAGCTTAGTGAAATAGAGTTTCAATTTCGGTTGAATTGAGAATTTCCATGAAGAAATTCTCAATTCAACCGGACTGAATTTTCATTTCAGCTTTGCTGAAATATGTGTATTCATTATTTCTTCTTAGTTCAAACATGCTGCATATGTTTCCATTGGGAAAACCTTCGTTCAATTTGGCTGAATAAAGTTTATTTTAATAAAGTCCTGATACAAAGACGCTGAATATAGTTTCCATATTCCAGATAATCTCAATTCAGAAGGTATGAATGGAGGTTTCCATAGGAAAACTTCAAAAAATATTTCATTAGGAAATTGTTCGGAATGAATGGATATTTCTTTAGTCAGGTGTCTTCTTTAGGAAATTTTTAATTCATTATATCTATTCCAGGCGGAATTGAAGTTTCTTTACGCAATTCTCAATTCAGCCAGGCGGAATTGTAGTGTCTTTAGGAAAAGTTCAATTCAGCATGATAGAGTGGGAGTTTGTTTAGGAAATTCTGAAATTCTCAATTCATCCAAGTGTAATGGACATTTTTTAGGAACAATTCAATTCAGCCTCGTGAAATGGAAGTTTCTTTAGGAAATTCTCAATTCAGCCCGGCGTAATGAAAGTTTCTTTAAGGAATTCTCAATTCAGCCAGGCTTAATAGTAGTGTCTTGAGCAAAAGTTCAATTCAGCATGGCAGCGTGGACGGTTATTTAGGTAATTCTCTATTCAGCCTGGCGTATTGGAAATTTTCTTTAAGAAATTCTCAATTCAGCCAAATGAAATGGACATTTCTTTAAGAAAATTTCAATTCAGCCTCGTGATAGGGAAGTTTCTTTGGGAAATTCTCAAGTCAGCCAAGTGGAATGTACATTTTTTTGGCAAATTTCAATTCAGCCACATGAAATGGAAGTTTCTTTAGGAAATTCTTAATTCAACCAAGCGGAATTGAGTTTTCTTCAGGAAATTTTCAATTCAGCCTCGTGAAATGGAAGTTTCTTTAGGAAATTGTATATTCAGCCGGGCTGAATTTAAGTTTTTTTTAGGAATTTCTTAATTCAGCCAGGTGGAATTGAAATTTCTTTAGGAAAAGCTCACTTAAGCATAGCAGAGTGGAAGTTTCTTTAAGAAATTCTCAATTCAGCCAAGTGAAATGGAAATTTCTTTAGGAAAATTTCAATTCAGCTTCGGAAAATTGAAGGAAATACTTAATTCAGCCAGGCGGAATTGATTTTTTTTTTTCAGGAAAATTTCAAATATGTGTGGCGGAATGGATTTTTTAGGAAAACTTAAATTCAGCCGACGGAAATAAATTTTTCATAACGAAATCAACCTTACGTAATGACATTTTCATTAGGAAAGCTTCAATTCAGCCTGGCGAAATGGAAGTTCCTATAGAAAATTCTCAATTCAGACGGTCGGAATGGAAAACTTTAATTCAACAGGTTAAATAGATTTTCATCTAGCAACATTTTCAATACAGCAGACCGGAATAGAATTCATCTTGGCTGACTAGAGTTGCTATTACCAAATTCTCAATTCAGCCTGGCTGAATTGTATTTTTCCTATGAAAACTTGTAGCAAACCCAGCTGGATAGTGTTTTCTGCGTGAGAACTTTTATTCAGCCTAGGTGAATAGTACTTTTCCCTATGAGAACTTCTATTCAGCCTGTTGAATAGTGTTGTTTTCCTTTAGAAAAAGTTTATTCAGCCTATCTGCAAGAATAATTAATCAAAGAAAACTCTATTCAGCGAGGAATCATTAATATGAATAGTGTTTTCCGTGATTCAGTCTTGTTGAATAGTGTTTTCCATAGAAAATGTTTACTACAGTTTAGCTGAATAGTATATTTTCAATAAGAATACTTGAATTCTACCCGTTTGAATTGAAATTTTTTTTTCATTTTTTGATTCACCCTGTTTCTGCTGCCGAAACACCATTTAAATTTTCATGTTATCTTTTGTTAAGCACAATGAAAAAAAACTTGCATGACTATACATGTTCAAAGAATCCGACAAATACCTTGTGATATTGCTTCATACAATTTGCATAAGTAATTCTCACACTACCTTCCTAAAAACCCCTACACACACGCACTTCATAATATACCTGCATCCCTGTATGTGACAACCATATGGAAATATTAAAAATTCTCCGTAATTTGAAAAAAACTACTCTTTAATGATATTGTGTTGGAATTTCTGTGTGTGTGTGTGTGAGTGTGTGATGAAACTTTAAAGGACATTTTGCATAATCATAGATTTGAATGAAATATGAATGTGTGAGTCCTGACACACACATACTCATACACAATGTTATGTGCAACATTGCATTGGCAAACTGGAACTGCAATACTTGTCCCCGGTGACAATGATAAATGTAAAGGGATAACACAGCCAGGACAATGTGAAATGATGTTGCCAAAAAAAGGATGATGGAGAGAGAGAGAGGAAAATAACTTCCGAATAATATTTCATACAAGAAAACATCTAACGAAGTGTAGAACAGAAATGTTGCAAATATTTTATATCTGGCATTACGTTGCAAGACTAAGGTGGTGTTCGCATGGATCCTTAGTTATTTAAAAGTGTCCTTTTGTTAAAGAACAAAAA